ATTATCTTAGGTCTCTTTAGGTTTTCTTCCAAAATACACGAGTTTGAACAACAGAGCATTCTGGGACTCTGTGTGCCTCTAGATGTCCCCTATTCCTTGGTAGGCTCATAACCCCACTGGTGGGAGTGTAAGTGTGAAGACACAGTAGAGAGAAGCTGATGAGCGGGGCACATGCATGGTTAGGGGCTGTGCACATCTATTCAAGTGGGTGGACTAACTTAGTGAGTTGGATAAATGGAAGTTTGAATGCTTCTTTTGTATTACCAGGTTGGCCTAAGTAATAGTCAATGCTAAACTGCCCCCCAAAATGGTATAGATAGTACTACAGAATATTAGGTATAAAAGTAATTGGATTTTCTTTTTGTGTCACAAAGTAAGAAAGTATTTAGAAATGATAGAGGCCTGTCAAAAGGACAAGGGAATTGGCCTGAAAAAATTCACACTGGCAAAATCTGAAATAATTTAAACATTAAAAAAATAAGCTCAGGGCTGGGGTTGTGGCTCAGCGGCAGAGTGCTGGTCTAGCATGTGTGAAGCCCTGGTTCGATCCTCAGCACCACATAAAAAAATAAATAAAATAAAGGTATTGTGTCCAACTACAACTAAAAAATAAATATTAAATAAATAAATAGAAATAAACATATTGTGTCCATCCACAGCTAAAAAATATTTTTAAAATAAACTGAAAAATATATTAGAGCCTATTAAATGAGACAGAAACCCATGAGTGATATTAATAAAAAAACAAATGGAGAAGGGAGGGCAGCTCCTTACCTTAGAATGCCAACTAATGAATATAGAAGGACAATGTTGGAAACAGAGAAATCATCAGGGGCAACCATAGCAGGAATAATTGATTCAAGCAAGAATCATCAATGAATGATAATGGATAAAAAAATCAATGAAACAAGATATTTGTATAGTCTTGTAATACATGTATAAATTATAAAGGGAAATAACAGTAACTTCACAATGGAGAAACACAGCATATAAAATAGCCTAACCAAATGTGCAAAGTTAACACTGCCTGTAATGGGACAATTTGCCATAATGTGTCACCTAATAGGGCACACTGAGAAGAACATAGTACATAAACTGAATCCAAAGGGAGGGAACATCAGATGAGCCCAAATCAAAGGGTATTTTACAAAATAACTGACCTAAAATCTCCAAAAATGCCAAGGTCATTAATATGTTTATACACATATATTTTCATATTCTCTCCATCCATCCTTTCTTGATTTGGGTCTGAGTGAGATCAGAGCTATGTTCAGAATCATGAGGCAGGTTCCTGTTTCACCTGGAGAGCAATCTGAGTCTTATTCAAACCATCAAGCCATAGGTGTAACAGAGATATACAACTGTTTTTTAAACTTATAAATAATTATGGGCTACAAAA